TTTAATAATCTGGATCCAATGAACTGAATTCCATCTGAATCGGTTCAGTTAAACCGGTTCCTCTGATGTTCCTCTTCTGTCCTCCATCCATCCTTCCTCTGGTCAGAAGGTCTGGGATTGACAGCAGGCCAGTGATTGGTTAATCCCATCTCTGCGTAGGAGACCTCGTGCCAAACGGAACGGCACAAAACCCGAAGCGCCATCTGTCCGACAGACACTCTGTTCTGCCAGCAACGAGGCGACGCTTCGGTTTTTACGCGCAGCCGAATCTCCGCGAACCTGATCCGCTTCAGCTTCGCTCTCCGTCTGCAGGAGGGATCCATCCGCATCTGTTAGGCTCCTGATTCTCACTCAGACTGAAGAAAGTTTTCTGTTTCTGCTGCTGCGTAAAGCGGGTAGTTGGCAGCGCTCTCCTGTCGCGCGTAAAGCGAGTCTGATCTCAATTTGGAGAAAAATTAAAACCTCCTGATTTGGTGGAGAAGATGGAAAACTCATCATCATCATCATCATCCCTTCCGGATCTGAACCAGACTCAGGTCCAGAATGACGGGATCTGGACGGACAACAGCATCCAGTACAAAGTGCTGAGCAGCCTGCTGCTTCTCCTGATCTGCGCGCTGGGCATCGTTGGAAACATCATGGTGATCTTGGTGGTGAGCATCACCAAACACATGAGGACACCGACCAACTGCTACCTGGTGAGCCTGGCTGTAGCGGACCTGATGGTGCTGACCGCGGCCGGACTGCCCGCCATCCCGGAGAGCATCTTCGCCTCCTGGGTGTTCGGCAGGTCCGGCTGCCTGGTCATCACCTACCTGCAGTACCTGGGGATCAACGCGTCCTCCTGCTCCATCACCGCCTTCACCATCGAGCGCTACATCGCCATCTGCCACCCGATCAAAGCGCAGTTCCTCTGCACCCTCTCCAGAGCCAAGAAGATCATCCTGCTGGTCTGGGCTTTCACCTCCATCTACTGCGTCATGTGGTTCTACCTGTCAGACACCGAGGAGAAGGTGTTCGCAAACGTCACCGTCGTCCTCTGCGGCTACAGGGTCCCCAGGAAATTCTACCTGCCCATCTACTTCTTTGACTTCGGCGTGTTCTTCGTGCTGCCGCTGCTGCTGTCCGCGGTGCTGTACGGACTCATCGCCAGGATCCTGTTCCTCAACCCGCTTCCCTCAGACCCCAAAGACAAGAAGAAGAAAGGAGCGACCAGCAGCAACAACAACCAGGCTGCCAACAAGAGCAACAGCTGCAAAAACTCCCGACACTCCAGCTCCACCGCGACGTCGCGCAGACAGGTGAGCGACAGAGAGCTTCGAATCTTCTTTTTAGCGAAGGAAAGACATCAGCAATTGCCCCAAAACAATGTGCTGTTGCTTTTCATCGATCTGAGACAGATTATAAATCATTTCAAGAGGCGTTTCATAAAATTTTGTCACATTAACCCCTTAAATTTAAATACTTTACACTGCAAAAAATGGAAAAATAAGTAAGCATTTTTTTTCTTAAAATAACTGCTTTTTTTCTTGAGCTGAGCAGGTAAGTGAGAACGAAACAAGACAATTTACATTTAGGATAAGAAAAAACAGCTAAAGTCTCTTATTTAAGCTGCATATTATCTACTGATCCAATGTTAATGTTAAAAATGCTCATTCAATTAACAGATCATCTTATTTTCCTACTCAAATGAAGGGTAAATACACTTAATTTAAGACATTTTTACTCATTTTCAGAATTTTTTTGCAGCATACTTAAGTAGAAATGTTGACTTTTAATTATCATTATACCTTTATTTTAACAGGAAAGTCATTAAGAGTTTACAGGTGTAATTATTTGTAAGACAACTTTTTATTTCTACTCCTTCCTTACATTTTAGAAATAGACTCGTTAGTTTTGTTTCGTTTAAGCTCATTTTTATTCATCTCATTGGAATCTGCCTCTTTTTGTACATCGAATTTTAAACACTGATTTTTTTTACACGTTGAATTCTTTACAATGAAATTATATCTGGTTAAAATTCGTCTGCAAATGTGTGGACCTGTTGGTGAACTCAAGCCGAAGCAATCTACTTCCGATGCAGTCGAGCAGCTTCTAGCCAATGAAATTAGCTCATTTGGTCACATGACGCAACAGTTGAGCATAGATTTGTTCCCGGCTGAATGAAGCTGAATGAGAACTTTTTTTTTGTTAAATAGATCTGATTATAAAACATCAGTCATCTACTAATACACCGCCATTAGAGTTTTTAATCAAGTGCGGCATCCCTGTCTGCTAAGGCTTTTCGTTTGATCTGGAAGAAGCAGCCGCTTCCAAACGTTCTTTTTTTTCTGACCAAATAAGCTAATTTCATTGGCTAGAAGCAACTCGATAAAGCGTAGATGGCTTTGACTTGAGTTCACCAAAAAATCAACACATTTGCAGTCAAATTTTTTGCAGCTGAATTATCTGCACTGGAAAAAATGTAAATCCAGATAAGTGATTTTTTTTCTTAAAATAAGGGCATTTGTTCTTGGATTGAGGAGTTAAAAGATACATTTTGCCAATGAAACAAGACAATTTACACTTAAAATAAGAAAACATAATTGCACTATCTTACTCCAAGTGCATATTATCTAATGATCTTATTTTAAGAGTAAAAATCACTCACTCCATTAGCAAACTATCTAATTTACCAACTCAAATTAAGGATAAATACACTTAATTTAAGACATTTTTACTTATTTCAAGATCGTTTTTCCAGTGTGCAGGCAAATCTTTAGTAGATATAAATTCAGTGTAAAGAATTCAATGTGAGTTGAACCCCCAACCCCTTTACAGGAGAACAGAAGACCTCCCCTATTCAGCCAGGCCAACTATTCCCTCTAACGACCCCCTTTCAGAGGCATAGACAGGTATGGGGCATTGCAGGCTAACAAAGAAGCCAAACGACCCCCATTCCAAAGGGGGGGACCCATTCATCCGTTTCTATTTGCATGTGTTCTAAACTAAAGCCAGGCTTTGTTGGGCTGCTGGATAAAACCTGGAACTAAACGCTATTTCTGACATTTTGAACTAAAAATCTTCCTGGATGGAAG